ATCAAAAAATAGCTGCTAGAGTTAGGATAAAACCATATGAATAGTTTGCTTTAACACAGTTTTGCTGTTTTCACATTCATAATGATAGTAAAATAGGTGGATGCATTTTTCAAAAAAAGCAAGCTGTGTTTTATGTTAAACTACAAAGTCTTTTCCCAAAGGCTACTTTGGAAAAGTTATGTTTGCTGTTTTTGAAAGGTGTGTGTAGCTCATTGTGACTACGGAGTGCAAATAAAACCTAGGTCAAGAAACACAGAGATATGTTGTCTCCTGGCTTTGGTTCTGTGCATTACTTGAGCAAGTCTGTGACATCGTGTGTCCTTTTCCTGTGACAGAGTTGAGACTACGTGTGGGTGACTGACTTGATACAAGAGTAAATGGATGGGAACTGAAATAAGGATCCAGCTTCCCTGGCAGGGTTCTTCATGCCTAACCCACTAAGTGTTCCAACCAAGCAAGGTGCTTCTGCAAGGCTGAAAGACTAACCAGTTGGATTTTGGGACTTTTAGGACTGTTCAGTGTTGTCTCATGTATTCCACACGTGTCCCTGCATCTTCGTAACTGCACTGACCAGAGTGCTCAGAATTATCTGACCTTATGGAGCTCAGAGAGTATCACCGGAGTATAGCACAAAGTTTGATCTAATTAACCAGTAACAGATGTAAACCACGTTCATACCCAACCGTATGTTATCCTTCTAGTTTATCTATACTTGCTTCCTTTGGAAGCCATGAAGGCTGAACGTATATATTTACAAGTATATGGTTTTAGTTTTGCAACTTTTTATGGTTTCCAAATATAGACAGTAGTGGAGTTTGTTTCAAGGTGTTTTGAATAGAGTAGCTGGCACATTTCCAGCATTTTTCCAATCAGTCTCTGGCTGGCTTTTAAAAAAGTTTAATTTTAAATATGAAGTGAGTATTTTGCAAAGCACTTAGTCCAGCTTCAGTCTAGGACTGTAGCCTCTAGATATTGGTTGGTATTTGTGATCTTTACATTTGGAGAGGAAAAATTCTGTGAAGCTTTACTTCTCCTTTTTACAAAAAGCAAAGTTTCTTTCAAGCATTTCCAATTTTAGGAAGAAGGGTGAAAAAAAATTGACAGTAAAACTGAATTTTGTTATAAAACTTCAGAAGAGAGAATATAGAGAAAATGCAAAAGTATGTTTTTAAAAATATGTTACAAATTCTATAAAAATAAAGATTTTTAGGCCTTTCTCATTCCTGTTTTGTTGGTGTGGTTTCAATGTTCATGAATTAGTAGTGTCACTACATTCACAGTTAATGAAAAGCTTCTTCCTTCAGGGGCTTACTCAGTAAGGCCACAGTCTTGCAACCTGTGATAAGACAGGAAGGTGTTTTTCTCTGTTGTGAGACTGGAAATCCATTTTATTTGTTGTGTATAAGACAGACAAAAGTCTCCTTTTTATTCCCTTCACCCCTTCATGGGAAAGCTCTGCAGTTTGGCCTGAGGGAAGTAGGGTACAAAAGAAGGTATCAAATTTTGCAGCCCTTCCAATGGTGTTGCTGTTGCTCCTTGAACCCAGCCTGAGGGACCCATTAGTGATCTAGAAACTGCTGAGGGGATCAGTAAAGTTTCTGTAGTGCTCAGTCTGTCACAGCCGTGGGCCCTAGGCTCCATGTTAAAACACAGTTGCAAAATCACTGTATTTAAACTTAGTGACACTTAAGGTTTATATATTTACCTGATATATAAGAGTTTTCGAAGTAGTTTATTAAAACCATGTGATATTGATATGTAAGAGTTTTCGAAGTAGTTTATTAAAACCATGTGATATTGCTTACAATATTTTAACTGCCTACACAACTTTTTTTTTGTCAAATTAATAGCCCAATATATAAATTGCTTTCTAATAATGTTGTTGGGTTTTTTTCAAATACAAATTTTTAAATTAAATAGATAGAAAGAAATGATCCTTTTTTATTCCTGTATCCTCTAATTATCCCCCTAAACAGAAACTGATTCGTGTTATATGATGGTGTAACATAAACTATAACCTAAACAATGTATTGAAGGGAAAAAAAAAATATATATACTATAGAAGTTTTAAATGAGATTAATGCTATTGTCAGTGTAGGACTGCATTAGAAAATGATTTTTTTATTACTGAATACTATTATAGTGAAACTATTTACACAATTATGAATTAGCAGGTATTTGAATTCTGTTAAGAAATTCTTTGGTTGACAAATGTTGTGGTGAATATAAAGTAACAGCAAATTCAGATTTCAGCACAAATACAATTTTACATGATTTATAACTGTCAAATGCCTGTGCTGCAGATTTTTTGTCCGAATGTACTAAACTAATTGGTGTTTCATAGATAGCTACAGTGGAACTGGTATTTGCTCTTGTTTGTTCCAGTTCAAACTACGTACTGGTGATTCCTGTGTAAACCAGCTCACCTTCTTGAGTCTTGACCTACTTCACCTTTCTCTTGTCTCTCAGCCTTAAGCACAGCCTATAGTCTTTTGGATCTCAGTCTTATCATAAAGTCCTCAATTCATGTTTATTGCTTTAACTCCTCCATTTGGATTTGAAACTAATTAATTTGGATTACTGAATTCAGAGGGAGTTTTCCTGGGCTGTCTGGAAAACCATGAAAAAAACTAGCATCAAGGAATGAAAGATGGTGCAATTGTGTATAGGACAAACCCACTTACCCTTCCTCTATAATTTGAATTGGGTCCCGGAAGAAGACATCTTCCAATAACCTGTTTGCAGTCTGTAAGAGACTTTCTGCAGAACTGAGAACAGGTTCTGGGTCACTTCTGAAAAATCGGTGTTGGACTATAACTAGCAGTCTGTAGGGTTGTGTTACAGCTGCTAAACAAAAAACATGTGCTGTCCTGCATATCCAGCTGTATTTCTCATGGAATTACCATGGCTATTGGAATTGGAGCAGAAACCCCTTTATTTTTGTAGTACAGTAATTGTGAAAAGATTTTTTTCACTACAGCAGCTTTGTCTTCATGTCTGCAACTTAAGCAAAGTTTAACACCATTTGGAACTGTTTTCACTTGTAGAAAGGTAAACCCTGTGTAAGGATAACCATTTACTGGAATGCTAAGTAAATGGCAGATGGTATGGATGTATGATTTTGTCAGTTTAGGACACCAGGAAAGGGATCAAACTGTGGAAGAAATTGTCATAATAGAAACTATACCTATAACTAGCATGTAGAGATTTTAAATTATATTTAAATGAGGTCAGATGTGTTTGAGTGAATTACATCCAACAGGGAAAGATGAAAGATTGTCCCTATTGTTTAAACACACAGTTTCAAGCCTGTTTCAATCTCTGATGGCAGTCTTGGTGTGCTTCTGGCCGTGCAGTGAGTCCTTCTCCTTTAGGAGAAAGAAACAACTCCACCTACCTAAACCCTCCTTTCAGGCAGTTGTAGTAAGCAATAGAGGACCTCTGACCCTCCTTTTCTCCAGGCTAAACACCCCCAGCTCCCTCAGCTGCTTCTCATCAGACTTGTGCTCCAGACCCTTCCCCAGCTCTGTTGCCCTTCTCTGGACATGCTCCAGCCTCTCAATGTCTTGTGGTGAGGAGCCCAGAACTGAGCACTGCACTTGAGGTGTGGCCTCACCAGTGCCGAGTACAGGGGACTGCCCTGGTCCTACTGGCCACACTATTGCTGATACAGGCCAGGATGCCAATGGTCTTCTCGGCCACCTGGATTCACCCTAGCTCATGTTCAAGCTGCTGTCAATCAGCATGTCCAGGTTATTTTCTGCTGGGCAACTTTCTGGCCGCTGCCCCAGCTTGTAGCACTACCTAGGCTTGTTGTGACCCAAGTGCAGAACTCAGAGCTTCGTCTTGTTGAACCTCATACATATGTCCTGAGACCATCAGTCCAGCCTGTCCAAATTCTTCTGTAGAGACTTCCCCTCCCCCTGATGGAGACGCCTGCCCCATCAGTTTGGTGTTGCCTGCAAACTGACTGAGGGTGCTCTCAGTCCCCTTGTCCAGGTCCTCAATAAAGATACTAAACAGGACTGGCTTGTCACCACCACTGTCTGGGCTGGGCTATCCAGCCAGTGTTTTACTCAGTGAGCAGTGCACCCATCCATCCATGAGCACCCAGTTTCTCAAAAAGAGTGCCATGGGAAATCGTGTCCAAGCCATTACTACTATCCAGGTAGACAAAATCCACAGGCCTTCCCTCTTCCACCAAACAGGTCACCCGGTCACAGAAAGAGATAAGTTTGGCCAAGGAGGACCTGCCTCTCATAAACCCATGCTGGCTGAGCCTGATCACTTGGATACCCTGTCCATGATGCATGATGACACTCAAGCTGATGTTTCATGACCTCCCCTAGCATCAAAGTTAGGATGACAGACCTGTAGTTCACCAGATCCTCCTCTGGCCCTTCTTGTAAATGGGCATCCCATTTGCTGACATCCAGTCAATGGGAATTCCCCAGTTAGGAAGGACTGCTAGTAAATGATGGAAAGTGGCTCAAGTGAGCACTTCCACCAGTTCCTTCAGTACCCTTGAGTGGATTCCTTCTGGGTCCATGAACTCACATGTCTAAATGGCATAGCAGATCACTGACCATTTCCTCTTGGACTATGGGGGCTTCATTCTGCTCCCTGTGTTCAAGCTCAGGGGGCTGGGTATCCTGAGATCAACTGGTCTGACTGTGAAAGACAGGAAAAAAAGCATTAAGCACTTCAGCCTTTTCTTCATCCTTCATCACTCTGTTTCCTTTATGTCTAATGAAAAAGAGATCTCCTCTGAAATACAATGGTTTCTGAAAATGCAAATTCTTATTGTTCATTGGTGCATCTGTTGTATCTGAGTTTTTGCTGTTTACCTTCTTTTATACCTCTGCAGTATTACAGCTTCTTCTAAGAATTTCCTTCCACTATCTACATTTTTGACTCATCAACTCTAATGTACAGTATAGTTTAAAACCAAAATGTTTTCATGTGATAAGGGAATTCTGATTGTCCTTCTCATTTTCTAGAGGCCTGCTCTGAGACCGCCTTTGGTTATGATCCACATGTGCTACTGAAGCTGGCTGGAATGGTGTGACAAATGTGAGTATTTTGAAGAAACTTGCCCCTGTAAGCCTTCATTTGTATACTTGGAATTAACAGATGCTTTACTATCCCTGTGTCATGCCCCCACTTCTGTAATGTGCATACAATGATATCATTCATATCATCACACAAAGATGATGTGAAAATGAGTCACTTAATGTTTGTAATGCATTCAGATGTTGTGATGAGCATTGTAGGAAAACCCACAAGCAAATGAATAATTCATTGTTCAAGTCAGGCTTTGACTTGAACAGTACATGGTAAACAAGACATGGGACTTCACACTGAATAGTAAGAATAAGGCCAAATAATTAATGATCACTTGTTCAACTATCATGGTTGATTCAGAATATTGAAAGGGAGTGGAATCTTTTGGAAAGAGTGTAGTCATGTCCTAAGGGACTGGATGTTAGTATATGATGGGAAAAATAAATAAAGATAATTAGGGTTTTTTTCCTTTTATTTTGTTCTTTTAGTGAACTTTAGTATTAGTTATGATATGTGTTTTGGAACAAAGATGAAGTTTGTTAGACTTCCTAAATTGCCTGATTTTAAGTCTGTGTATCTCCCATTGCATAGATGTGATAGTATTGGAGAATCCTAATCTCTTCTTTAATTCTGTTTTCATAGTTTCCTGCTGCTCAGTGAATCCTTTTGTTTTTGGTGTTTAAGCATCAAACAAAGGGTGTAAACACCTTATCTAGACACTGTGGTACAGTCTTTGGATTTTATTTAATTTTGATGTATCATATGCATCTTGATATGAAATTATCTTAAGAGCAGCTAATGGAAGAGGAGATATAAACTTTCTCCCCTACTGGCTGCAAAATAAAAGTCTAGTTTTGATGGAATCTTATTTTCAGGGGTAGCTTGTTCCTGTGTTGAAACTTTTAACCTTCCTTTCCATGATAGCTCTGAATGTATACATTTTGAGAGTGAAAAAGAATACTGAGGGAGGTATTTGCAGCTACACTACACAAAAATATGTCAATAATTTAGGCTGAATAATAGCTCCTCTAGTAACCAAAGTCACCAGCAATTTTTTATAGTCCTAGAGCATAAGCCAGCCAGAACATATAATCAATTCCACTCTGCAGATGGAATGGATGTTTTTTTCCTAGGCATCTCCTCCCTACTTCCCTAAGCTGAATCTTTAGAAATCAATTGCATAATTTGATCAGTTTAAATCCATGAATATGCTGAGGTAATGATACCAAACTTCTAGTATTTCACTGCTTTCAGTGACAAATCTATTGACAGTGCAGCATTAAAAATAAATCAGAATTTCCATGAGAACTGTTATAATTCATATTTGTAATTTAAAAAGTATTTTAACTGTATTTTTTATGTTTTAAATGCGAGACCACTGAGCACAGACATATCCAAGAGACAGCCACAGCCCATATTAATACCATGACATCACTCAGTATGATAAATAGCAGTTATGTCACACCCGCTTTTGAGAACAAAAGCAAATCATGTTTTAAAAACAATTCTGTATTTCACACTTATGGAACAATTTGACATAATGCTACTGCTTCATAGTATTTGGGGAAATTTTGAGGGCAAAACCTGCATAATAGCCTAGTGATTGGAATGAAACACAGGATCAAATATAAAGGGATAAATCTGCATTTTAGGATTGTAGACAAATATGAACTTTAATAAGATTAACAAGACAAGAAATGTAATGAAAAGAAGAAACATTCTTTCCTAGATTTTGAAGTTGGTAAAGAACAGCAAACACAATTTTTATGTTTTTTACTATAATGTATGTGACCAGAAGACTTTCAAAGGATGAACACATCTTGTGCAAAGATGGGCCAAATTATTACACTTGTAGGTTGAAAGAGTCAGGGAGTTCTAAGTGTAGTTTCACTGGCCTTTTGTGAGAGTTGAGTTCAGGATGTTAACTGGTATTTGTTTCTGGTTTTGTCAGCATTTTCTTAAGGTCCTGTATAATTTTTAACTTGAGTTCATAATAAATCAAATACCTCATCAACCTCACTGCCAAAACCTCACAGCTTAAAATGAGACCTATAACTTGGAGGCACAAGCTGGTAAATGCAGGTACCTGAAACAGTCTGTGAATCTGCTGATGCCAATCAGGCCCTCAGTTAGAAATGACTGAGTTAGTTCTTTGCGATTTTTACCCAGGGATCTCAAAGACTGTTATCCCTAATAAATTACTCTTGTCCACAATGTGGAAGATGTATGTAAGTTACTATGGGCTTATTCTAGGCCTGCACAAATGGAAACATAAATCAGCTTGGCTTACACTGCATGCAGAAGTGGTATCAGGAGCAGAAACCAAAGGTCTTCTTTCTCCTCTGGGTTAGCTGACCCAGGAGTGTGAGAAAACTCATTAATGTGCACACAATTCTGCCTGCTGTCAAAGTGTTTAGCCTACTTCACAAAGAAAACAAGACTTTTTTTCTTCTTTTTATTTCTCTATTTCCCCTCCCTTTTTTTTTTTTTTTTTTTTCCTCTCTCTGTACCTCTTCTGCCTCATCCCTTCACCCAATAACCTTTGGAGGTTATTAAGGTCTTGGCCTTAGGAGGTTTGGTCAGAGTTGGAAGGGGAAAGCAGTATAAATATTATGAAATATGGGACTGGCTAAAAGAGGAAAATTAATTAGTCCTTTCTGAGAGATGTGTGAGCCTACCAGATTTGTGCTCAGTCTGGCCTGAGAGGTTGGCTGAACCTCTTGAACCATGGCTCAGGCTTTGTCATAGCAGGACTGCCTCTGTGCCCAGCTAGAAGTTAGCTGAGAGATGTGTGGAAACTTGCTGAAATGGTGTCACTGGAGTAAGGGTTGCTGGGACTTGTAATGGGCCATAAATGAAAGCAGCTTAGGTTTTATTACTGTCACTGTTTGAAGATGAACTTGGAGCTATTGTTTCTGCCTGTAAAAATACATTTTGTCTATTTGGGAATGTACTGTTATAAGTTTGATCAGTTTGGCAATTAAAAAAGGCATTTTGTTTCCAGCTAGATTTGATAAAGCAGAAACTTATCTAAAATATTGAACTCTAAGCCCCTTCAAGGGAGTGTGTCTTTAAATAAATACATAACAAACTCCTAGAGGTTGCTTTTTTTTTTTTTTAATCTTCTAAGTAAGTGTTTCTCTGCAGTTATGTCTTTCATCTCATGGGAACTGTCTACTCCTTGTTTTAATCCCAAAACATCATCAAAGTAAGTGGGAAAGAAAAGGAAAAAAAATAGTATCTGCAAACTCCAAAATAAAAGCTTAGTGTATTGTGATTGAGCTGGGCAAAATCCTGTCCTGGTAGTTTTAGACTTTGTATAAGGAATTTTCAGAGTTAGATCTTTTAACTGCATTCTATATGGCCATAGAATTACTGTTTTCACCAAGAACTACACACATGAAATGCGTGAGGATCATGTGGACTGATGTTTAAGTTTTTCCTCCTTTGGACTACAACATTGTAGCTATTTAGCATAGAAAGAAGTCAGAAATGCATATCAGAAACATGTCCCCAGTCTGTTCGGAAGAGAAAAATTGAGACTGTTGTCCTTCCACTCTCCTGGAAAATCTGCCAACTTGGTATTCTGTAGTCTGAGCGAGCTCTCCAGGTCATCAAAGTAATTTTTTGAAGCCTGTGGCCTTAGTATTTCTATGGATAATAGCATCAGGCTCATTATCTCATACTCTTCAATTTTGTTTTGGCTTCCTGCAATTTACATCCCATTGTCCACTGATATTTTCTGCTTTCTTTTAAAGTAAAGTCAAATAACACTTCCTATGTTGGCTCTGGACTTAATAAAAATCAGACATGCAACATTTGGGATTCTTAAAATAACACGTTTTAATACAAAGATGTGAGATATCTTTTGAAATCTGTGGTGGATGTTTATTTCCTGCTGGGCTTAATTTAGGAATCTAGTGCTAGCATTAAACTAAGGGGAAAAATGTTTGCTCTTTCATCTGTGTGCCACATCCCATCCAAAATCACAAACAGCTCCTTTTCTGCTCTTTGTCCCCTGCTGGATGTGCATAATGCACATGCCTGTCTGACATATGAGACAGCCAGAGCCTTAAGAAAAAAAATAACATTGCTAAGCTTATGCTTTTTGCCTTAGGCCTCATAATCATCTACATTTTGGAGAATGACAAGTGTCCAAATCTGTTTTAATAAAGATGCAGCTTTTCCTTTTTTTTAAATAAGCCTCTTTCTTACCAAGTCAAAAGTCCCTATTTTATTGGAAGAAGAAAACACAGATAGAAATGCTTGGGGAATAAAAACCTTTATCCCATCAGAGGACCATTTCCCTTTTTTTTAATACTGCCTTTGAATACAGAAGTAAATACTTTCAGGAGTGTCACCTTAAAATTGCAAAATTTACTCAGGTCAAACCCGAATGTGAATCTGTCTTTAACATCTGGCTGTGTAGCTCTTACAAACACTCATTATGTAGGTGTACACCATAACATGCAGAAGAACTTCTGGTTTTGTGCACGCTGAAATGAAACTGTGTGGCTTCAGACATTCAACTGCTTGGATCACATCAAACAGCTGGGATCAGAGTTTAAAAGAAGTTTTCACTTTCTAATTGGTAAAAGTCTATCTTTCTTTGAAAAATCATCTTGGGCCCATTGTGCTATAATAGAGATTACACATGAAGCACATATTTTAATAGAAAATTATTAAGTTGTAAAATGTAACATTGAAAAGTTTGATACTAGAATCAATATTGGTCCTGTAATCTCAGTGGGTGCCTTGTATGTAGGCATTATAATACAGATTTTAATTATTTGCTTGCATCTTTTTCCTCTGTAGTTTCTCTGCCTCATTTACATATTACATCCCTTCTCACCTCTCCCTCCCCTCAAAGAGAAAGCACTCTTTAAACTGACAAGCTATTTGATGTTTTGTTTTCCTTTTATGCAGTATAAGAGTAAATTGCACTAACTGTATGCTGTTCCAGCCCTGATATGAAGGGAAAATAATTCTTTCCTGCAATTCTCTGTGGT